ATCCCTTCTGACTTCCATGCTGAGAGAAAGTCCTCATGTATTTCAGGGATAGCATCCCCAAAGAATGATAAGCAATCTGCGACTGTGGTCCTCTAAACTTCTCTGATGCTGGATACCCTTAACTGTCCACACTCCACCTGATAGAGAACAAGGACTTTGGATTACTTCCCCCAATTTCACCCTCTTCCAGCAGGAAGAGCAACTTGGAGATGTTGTCGCCCTTTTTTCCTTAGAAATGGAGTGTACTGTACGGTGGGGAAATCTAACAGTGGTCCACTTTGCTCTGAATGTAGCTCTTGCTTCTCTGCCACTGCAGCTTATTTTTAAAATGGACTTGTTTCTTTCTCTTCCCTGTCTCCCTGCTCCTCCCTAATCTCTTCCAGTCTCAGGAGAAACAGGATTACCTTTCTTCCCCATTTTAGGCAGAGTTATATGTCCTTGAGTACACACCCACCATAAGAACAAAGTCTCCAAGATTTGGGGGATGGTACCAGAAGATATCAGAAATGTCTGTCTCCCAAATTAACAAGTGAATTACAACTCCAACAGAGAACATGAGGAATGTAGCCTTTGAATCAACTCTTTAAAAGCCCACTGTTCCTGCTGATGGGCAGAATCACAGCCTCTGGACAGGAGTCCCCTGTTTCTCTTTTGTTAGCAAAGCAGTAAAACTTTTTTCCGTTTTCTCAAAAAGAAAAACAGTATATAAGTGTATTTAAGTAGCTTTGGCTTTCTCTTTTACTTGTTCTTTTTTCTTCTCATGTTTGCTGCCATTTACCTACATATGCTTTAATCTGTCTTGTCTGTTCATCTTGCTATGCAATTCACTTAAACCAAGGAAAACCCTTTTTTCCCCCTACTTGTCCCTTTGAACACATGACATATCCCTCTGAGGAACCATTACTAACAATTCTGATTTTATCCTTTGCTTTAATAAGGAAATAAATTTGCAAAAGAAAGCTGACATAGTAAGGATGCTGAGGGGAAATAGAGGTTGTTTGTTAACCCTCATGGGGTTGATACTTATGCAGATTTTGGAAGGCAAAAAGGGCAGCAGAGTTCCTGATCAATAGAACATTCCCAGGGAAAGGCATATAATTGTGAGCCCCTCTTTGATAGTGTCACCACTATCTTGAATACTTATAGGACAGATGCTAAGCTAGGATAAGTGTGAATACAAATACAGTGATGGACAGTTGTTTTTTTTTTTTAAACTTTGGGCAGGTTTCCTAAGAGTCCAAGCTTAATCTTTGTCTATAGCCATACATATAATATCTGACTACTTCAGGGATATGATATTCAGTTCATTTATATATTTATTTAGGTATGCATGACAGTAGAGTGTATTTTGACATATTATACATACATGGAATATAACTTATTTCCAGTAAGGATCCCATTTTTCTGGTTGTATGGACGTGGAGTTACACTGGTTGTGTACTCATGTATGAACATAGGAAAATTGTGTCAGATTCATTCTACTGTCTTTCCTGTTCCTATCTCCCTTCCCTTTATTCCCCTTTGTCTAATTCAGTGAACTTCTATTTTCTGCCCCCTATTGTGTGTTAGCATCCATGCATCAGAGAGAATATTTGGTCTTTGGTTTAGGGGATTGTCTTATTTCCTTTGGCCTAATGGTCTCCAGTTTCATCCATTTACCATTTTTCTTTAGGGCTAAGTAATATTCCATTGTGTACATATGCCACATTTTCTTATCCATTCATCTGTTGAAGTGTACCAAGGCTGTGTGACAAGGTGCTTAGTGTGCTGCCTAGCATGAAACTAGTGTTTGTTTAGAAAGTATAGGTTTATATCAGTATTGATATTAAGTTATAAGAATTAGAAATTGAAGCCAGGCACAGAGCCGCACAACTGTAAATCCCAGCAATTCAGGAGGCCAAAGCAGGGGGATCATGAGTTCAGAGCCAACCTCAGCAACTCGTCAAGGCTCTAAGCAACTCAGTGAAACCCTGCCTCTAAATAAAATATAAAAAATGGCTGGGGATGTGACTTAAGCACACCTAGATTCCATTCCCCCACCCCCAAAAAAGAATTAGAAATTGTTTATTTATTCCTCTTAATACTAAATGTAGGAATTCTGTGCTATCCGTTTAATCTCTTTTCTGCCTACCTGCAAACCACTTCCCTGCAAAGTAGAACTGAATGCCACATATTTTTTACTTACATGAGATACATATAACTTTGAAGAGTAAATATCAGTTGTTTTACAGTTTTGAGTATTTCTAATCTGAAGCGTTTGAGATTTCAGGTTTTCACAGTTTGGGAATAATTGCTTATACATACTGAGTTCTCTTAGGGATGAGACCCAAGTTTAAATAAAAAATTCATTTATGTTTCATGAATACTTCATATACATAATATATGTCTAATACACCTGAATTGACTATGACTGATCATAAGAAATGTGGAATTTTCTACCTATGGTGTTAGTTAGCCCTTAAAAAGTTTCAGATTTTAGAAACCAGGCATGGTGGCGCACTCCTGTAATCCCAGAGGCTTGGGAGGCTGAGACAGTTGATTTGCGAGTTCAAAGCAAGCCTCAGCAACTGCGAGGCACTGTGCAACTCAGTGAGACCCTGTCTCTAAATAAACTACAAAATAGGGCTGGGATGTGGCTCAGTGATCGAATGCCCCTGAGTTCAATCCTTGATACCAAAAAAAAAAAAAAAAAAAAATTCAGATTTTGGAGATAATATCTTAGTAAAACTTCATGCTACCTAGAAATCTAATTTAATTCTGCTTGTACAGAATACAGTTTTTATTTTATTTGCCTTTTATTTTAATGAGTTGCTAAATAGAAATGTTAATAGAATACTCAGCTATTTGAATAAGAAAGTCTGTGAATAATTCCTAATTCTTCCACAAGAGGGCCTTCTTAGGAAAGTTTTTCATTGTTTAATGTTACCATATTTCTATACAATTTCCATAACAACTAAATTTTCTCAAAAAAAACCTTTAAGAATAATGATAATATTTATTCATTTCTTTCAAGATATATACCTACAAAGTAATATTTTCTGAGATGTTAGTGGGGGTAACTTGTAAATTTCGCTCTTTTCTCCTCTTACGTCTTAAATAGATTGAGTATTTTCTATTCTCTATTAACTATTAAAGGCTAAACTCTAAACAGAGATGGGAATAAAACCATTCCACTAGCTGATTTAAAGCATTTTATATAAATGTATATTCCCTTCTTTCTATCTGCAAAAATTGTGGTTTAAAATAGATAAGTGCTCTCAGGCACGGTGGTACACACCTGTAATCCCAGCAGCTTGAGAGGCTGAGGCAGGAGGATCATGAGTTCAAAGCCAGCTTCAGCAAAAGTGAAGTGCTAAGCAACTCAGTGAGACCCTGTCTTTAAATAAAATAGGGCTAGAGATGTGGCTTAATGGTCGAGTGCCCCTGAGTTCAATCCCTTGTACAAAAAAAAAGAGTAGGTGCTATATGAAGAATTATGTCAAAAACATGTATGTATAGAACTTTTTTTATCTTTTATTGATTTTATTATTTTTTTAAAATACACGACAGCAGTGGAATGCATTACAAATCTTATTACACAATTTTTTGTATCTCTGTATATAAAGTATGTTCTCRTCAATTTATGCCTTTATACGTGAACTTTTTTTTGCATTACAATTCTTAATACACATATATACCACARTTTTTCATATCTCTGTTTGTATACAAAGTATGTTAACACCTAATTCAAGTCTTCATACATGTATCTTGTATAATGATATCCATAACATTCCACCATCCTTGCTAATACCCTGCCTCCTTTTGCCCCCTCCCATACAGCAGGGAACTATTAAATGAGTTGTCCTTCTAAGTCCGGAGCTTCCACAAATCAGTGATGTTTCTTTCCCAAACTTCATTTTAGCAAAATTAGAGGAACGGAACAGGAAGCAGGAGTAGAAGTCATTAGGAATATTTAGTTCCTTTCCAATTGCCCCCTGTTGTACATTTGCCTGAGTACAGTGGCCCCTAAAGAGAAGAGTAAGGTTACTGGGAGTCTTTAACATTTTCTTTTATTTCTCTCAGGCCATAAAGACTGAGGAATTCATTCAAGGAAACAATAGTACTAAGTGATTAGTATAAAGTCTTGCTCATATGTTCAGTACAGTAAGGTCCTTTTACTTTTCGCAACTGTATCTTAGTTTAGTTTATTTTATTTCAAATTCATGAGCATAAAAATCACCTGAAGACCTTATTAATAATATATATATCAGGAACTGGGGTTGTGGCTCAGTGCTAGTCATTTGCCTAGCATGTGTGAGCCACTGGGTTAGATTCTGAGCACCACATAAAAATAAATGAATAAAATAAAGGTACATCAACATCTAAAAAATTCTTTTTTAAAAAATAGATATCAAAGCCTAATCCTTAAGATACTAAGCAAGTAGATGTGGGGTGGGGCTAGGACATCAACACTTAAGGTGTTTTTTGTGCAATTTGAGTTTAGTGCGAAGAACAAATTGGATCTTTCATTTTCTTAAACACCTGTTCACTGCTCGTTCCATAACCTCGGACATTTTTTTTAATAGCTCTCAGACACATCTAAAAAAAGATAACATTTCTCAAGATTGTAATGGGGATCAKATTAATTTACTTATGGGTTATAATAATGCTTCGCCTATAAGAGGCATTCAGTAGATTACTCATCATGTGTGAAACTTTCCCAGTCTGACCCTTGCCCACCTTACCAACTCTGATTGCTGACAAATTCCCCTCCTCTAATCACATTAGATTACTTGTTTCTTAAATAAGCATGTCTTTGAGGTTTTCATGCAAAATATAATGCTGGCATTTAATAGGTTCTCAGTAATTATTTGGTAAAGGAATGAATAGGTCCATGAATAACCACAAAAAAGGCACTAGAAAAAGGCTGTTAAATTTCAGATATGTGGTGATTTAATTAAACAGCTCTCTGATTTACAGTAATGTTCAGATTTTCAAAATGTTTCTTTTTCTCCTAATAGCAACGTTTCATTGAGTTGGATGAAAATAGACAAAGATTATTGCAGAAATGCAAGGAACTTATGAAGAGAGCTAGGCAAGTATGTAATCTTGGTGCAGAGCAGACTGTTCCTCAAGAATATCAGACAGTAAGTATAAAAATTATATAATGCTACAGTTGCCATAACACATTAATTTAAGCTTAAAGTATCTTATGTATTATAATAGGCCATGAAAAATATGATGTGTCATAAAAAATATGGGATTTTTTCCCACTTTAAAATGGAATACACATATAAAGTAATTTCATTCAGCAGATTTTCTCTACTCAAATTTGGCCATCAGTCTTATTACTTAATACTAAAGTTATTAAAATGTAGGAATTACCTTACAGAAGTATTGGTACCATAATACATAATAATCATTCTTGCAATAAAAGTGAGCTTTTTTTCTCAAACCACCTTTAAGGAGTGCATTGTATCAGCAATTGGTGTGTAACAAACAGTAAGTGGGATGATTCTTAGAGAAACAAAGGCAAAATGAAAATGTTTTCCTAGAAATTGGAGTGTTTAATTAGGGTTTACAGGGAGCTGAATCTTAAGAACTAACATCTGTCAGAAAAGGAAAAAGGAGCTCTCAGTGTCTTCATTTTATTGACTGACATCACTCAGTAAAATTAGTGAATGCTTCCCTTCAGTTCACATTTCATTGTTGTATACCCGACCTATGATCCTAGTCTTTATATGACAAGTGGGGATGACACCTTTCCTGCCTATTGAAAATAATGTCAAAATAAAGTAAGAAAATTAGTTTTTAAATAATTAGTATTTGAATGTCTTTTTTTTTAGTTTTTAATTTGTAATTTATTTTAATAGATAATGAAATGTATACTAAAGATATAAAAGGCAGGAAAAAAGACTAACTTGGATTACATTTGTCAAATCACCAGAGATTTTATTTTGATACCTGATGTAGAAACCTCAGAGAATGGATTTGACTGGGTAAATGTTAGGAATGGAGTAGAAATCTGTAAAACTAATTGAGGAGGTTATTGTTTTTAAAGATAGTACTAGAATTTTTCCTAAATATGTTTTTTCATAAAATACGTGTTTTCATAAAATAAATATTCGTTTAGTTTAATATCTGCATTAGTTATCTTTCAAAAATAGCATGATTTTCCTTGATAATTTATACTGCTTTTGAAAGAAACAGAATTAGAAGATAATTAACATTCATTAAAAATGTATTAATTACTTGCATTAGTCAAGATAGACGTTCTTCTATACTGAAACATTCTAGTCTGCAGGATGGGGCAGACAAAAACACAAAGGCAAATAGATAATGTAAGATAAAGATGTTATAGTTTTGTGGGAGTTTTTTTTTTTGGTTGGTTGGTTGGGTTTTTTGTTGTTGTTGTTTTGTACTGGAGATTGAAATCAGGGGTGCTTAACCACTCAGCCACATCTCCATTTTATTTATTTATTTATTTATTTATTTATTGATATTTATTTTTCACTTCTCGGCGGACACAACATCTTTGTTGGTATGTGGTGCTGAGGATCGAACCCGGGCCGCACGCATGCCAGGCGAGCGCGCTACCGCTTGAGCCACATTCCCAGCCCCTCCATTTTATTTAGAGACAGGGCCTTTTGAATTCCTTAGGGCCTTGCTAAGATGCTGAGGCAGGCTTTGAACTCAGAGTCCTCCTGCCTCAGCCTCCTGAGCTGTTGGAATTATAGGTGTGTGCCTGGTGAAGATACTGTTTTTGATAAGTCCTGARTGAAGAAAGGAGTTCACTCAAGTGAAGATGTGAGGGAAAGTATTCCAGGCAGAGAAAGTAGTTCATACAAAACCCCTTAGATGGAAGTTATTTAGCATATGTCAGGACAAGGAATCTCAGTGGGACTAAAAAATTATAATCCAAGCAGAGAGGAGGGCAGATACCTGATTATGTAGGGTCATTCTTGTACAATACATATAAGAAAGGCAGCAGGAGACCATTTAGAGAACCAGACAAGAAATTATAGTAGCATGGATTAGGATGGTAGCACTAGAAAGAGAGGGATTGATAAATTTAGAGAGTCTTTTTAATGACACAGCTAATAGGACTTACTGGTGGATTTGGATGAAGGGGTAAGAGGAAACCCCTTGGTTTTTCACCTGAGCAAATAGTGGTGCTATTTACTGGAATGGAAAAGATTGAAGGAGAATTGTGTTTGCTTAAAATAATGGAAAAGGTGGATGAAATGAAGATTCTGTTTAAGATGCCTGTTAGAGTCAGGTGAAGGCAAGTAAGTGTTAGGCATATAAGCTCAAAGCTCCGTGGACAAGTTAGATTTTAGTCAGCAAATGTACATAAATATGTAAAGGTCTATAGAAGTAGAACTGCATTCTAAAGGATTAAAAAAAGATTAAGATATTAGATTAATATAATTTATCAATCTCTTTTAGGATTTCAAGATTCATATTGTACCTTTTAGTATATGGGCTAGGCAAAACAATGTACTGCTTGTCTCCCCTCATGCTTAGGTATCTATTCTAATTTGTCTCTGTGGCATGGATTCAGAAGAGGGTCCTGTGGTGAAATTCTACTGTCAAAGTAACTGGATTCTTAGGATGCTTTTGTAGTTCTTCATAAGTACAGTATAAAGTTCTAACTTCTTGCTCTCTTTCAATGCCCCACATATTCTGGACCCATTCTACCAATTCAGCAAGTACCCACCATTCCAAATGGACACAACTCCTCACCCCCCATGGTATGCAGTGCTCCTTCTTTTTTCCAAGCTTCTGTTTCCTTTCTGCCTTGTTCTTCCTTAGCCATTTGCTTTAAGGCCCAGAGATGAATTCTAGGCCTTTCAATTCTCTTAACTCTCCTGTAGCATGAACTGGTACTTTTTCAAATTCCATAATCTGTGATATGTACTGCTTATTTTAATACTCAACATCATTACATTACCTTAAGGTATTACCCACTGTATACATTTTGATTTCTTTTAAAGTGTAAGCTTTTTGAAGGCAAAAGACCTTGTTTATATTTCCTTTGCAACTTTGAATGCTAGCATGTTATCGATTAGACAGTAGATAATTAGTACATTATCTTTCTTTTTAACTATTTGATTGGAACTGTTTTTGCTGTGCTATCTCTAATGATAGGTAATTTTTTTTTCCTCTTTAGGCTTTCCAAGATCTTCCAAACACATTGGATGAAATTGATGCTCTATTAACTGAAGAAAGATCAAGAGCTTCCTGCTTCACAGGACTGAATCCTACAGTATGCCTCTTTCTCTATTCCCATTCTGCAGCCACCACAGTTGCCCCCCTCCACACACACCACACAGTTCCCTTCAGTACTTGCCTCCCACTCTGTACTAGAGCCTTGGTAATAATAAGCTAGACAGCAGGAACAATGTGCTTTAAATGCCAGATTCTGAATCTATTAGAATTTTAAATAGATTCTTCCTAAGGAACACAGTGTTCCGTGCCTTTTCTTTATAAAAAGAATAGTTGGGTTAACTTGAAATACTGTAACGTCTATTTTTTTCAAGGATTTAAAAAATGGCATTTCAGTATGTAATAAGAACATATATTAATTGCATACAAACAGTGCAACACAATTGACGTTTTCAATTAATGTTTTCATTGATGCAAAATTCTACGTAATGTTATCCTTTGGTAGATTTATCTTAAAGGAACATTTTTTTTTCTGCCAGGTGGTTGAGGAATACACAAAAAGAGAAGAAGAAATTGAACAGTTAACTGAGGAACTAAAGGGAAAGAAAGTTGAACTAGATAAATATAGGGAAAACATTTCACAGGTAATTTTGTAAATATTTATTTATTTATTATCATATGCTTATTATTAATGGTTTGGGCATTTAGAATAATAGAAAATGGAATGATATACCCCTTAAAAAAAAAAGTGTTTTCCCATAACTAGATCGATATTGATATAAAATTTGTTCTATGTAAAGGTATATATCAGAATATAATAATACTTCTTTTAAATTATGTATTTACATTGCCTTTTTTGTAGGTAAAAGAAAGGTGGCTTAATCCCTTAAAAGAGCTGGTAGAAAAAATTAATGAAAAATTCAGCAATTTTTTTAGTTCCATGCAGTGTGCTGGTGAAGTTGATCTCCATACAGAAAATGAGGTAAAATAGCTTTTGGAATATAATTCTTGGCAATTAATTTTAATTAAGTGCTAAAAGTACATGTAAAATAATTTACTTCAGAATTATGTCTGAAAATTTGGCTTACTAAAAAATTATCCAAAGGAAAAGACCACCTATGGTATTCCTTTAAGGTCATGTTTTTGTGGGGGTTTTTTGTTCTTTTTTTTTTTTTTTTTTTTTTAACCCTGCAAGGGTGGGTGGATGTTTGAGATTAGTGATTAATTCCTTACTAGCTCTGTTTGTGTCCAATTTGAGTAAGGGTTATTCAGCCATGTTGAATAACCACTTTCTAAGTTAGAAGAGTCATTAAATTAGAAAACATTACCAAAATACACTGTATGTCAGAAGTTCCTTTTTGATCAGAAATTTACAAGAACAAAAGTATTTGGAAATGTGCTAATTTTTTGAGCCACACACAGTTCATGTTGATGTGTAAAGAGAGCCTGAAGATGTAGCTAAGTGGTAGAGCACGTGCTCAGTATATCAGATGCCCTAGATTCAGTCCCCAGTACCAGAAAAGAAAGAGTCAGGTGTGTTTGGATACCTGTAATCCCAGGAACTTGGGAGGCTGAGAAAGGAGGATTGCAAGTTCCAGGCTATCCTCAGAAACTTAGTTCCTAAGCAACTTGGTGAACTTTAGCTCACAATAAAAAATAAAAAGGACCGAGGATGTAGCTCAATTGTAAAGCACTCCTAGGTTTAATCCTTAGTTACCCCTACCAAAATAAGTAAATAACTAAATAAAAGAAATGTATATAGATGCTTCAAAATAATTGGGAAACAGAAGTAGGTGAGGTTATAAGTGAAACAATATTGGCCATATATTGATCATAGTTGAGGCTAGTTGCTGGCACATTGAACTTGTTTTAGTGTTCTCTCTAATTTTTGTTAATTGAAGCCAGGCACAGTGGCACGCATGTGTAATCCTAGCTACATAAACATAAAATTTTAAAAGATACTGAGCAGGTGGCTGGGGTTGTATCTCAGGGATAGAGCACTCACCTAGCAAATGTGAGGTGCTGGGTTTGATTCTCAGCACCACATAAAAATAAATAAAATAAATGTATTTTTAAAAAGGTACTGGGGATATAGCTTGGTGGTAAAGCTCCCCTGGCTCAACCCCTTAGTACCAAAATAATACTAATTATGAATAATCTGTGTATGTTGAAAACTTCTCCACAATAAAATTTTGATGAGAAGATAGTAAAAAATATCACTTCACAAATTTTCCATTTTAGCATGTATGGAATTTTGTGTTATGTTACATATATAATTGTAAAACAAGGTAACACTAATTTTTTTCCCCCCTGAGGAGTTTAGACCCTTAATTCCTTCATCTGTGTAGTTTGAAGCATAAATATAAAATATTATTTTTTGAGTACCAGATCTAAGATATTAGGTACTTCTACAGTAATTGTCATCCATACATTCCTTGCTATAATTAAGAGGGATGTATTATAATAACAATAGTAATTTTTAATATGCTTCCTCTGTGTCTAGTACTTTTAAGTTATCTTACTTAATTATCTTATTTTGTTATCTTATTTAATTCTTTCAACCATCTTGGAAGGCAGATACTTCATCCACTGAATGTAAAATAAACTAAAAACACACATTTACTAAATATTACTTAGCTTTCAAATAACAAGAAATCAAACTATGTAGATTTTGACCAATTAAGGCATAAATATATAATCAAGGAAGCACAGTGAAATATATGGGACTTGACCTGTTGTAGAGATCCCATTCTTTAACTCCTAAAGCATGATACCGTAACTTCATCACATGCTTTTTCTTCTGGACAGCTTTTCTCTGTTTTATTTTTATTTTTAAAATTTTTTTTGGTACATTGTAGTTGCACATAATGATGGGATTTATTGTTACATATTCATATACGCACATACTATAACAATATAATTTGGTCAGTATCACTTTCCAAACTTCCCCCTGCCCTCCTCACCTCCCATACCTTAGTCTCCATGAGATCCACTGCTCTTTTTTTACTGTGTTTTAAATGATAACTGCACTTCTATAGATGATTATTCTGTAGATGATTATTCAGTGCTAGGCTCCTGGATAATGGACATTCTTACCTCTTCTCAGCCTCTTCCTTTGTCTCCCTTCTGTTCTGACCTCTTTAATCATAGTTCTTTAATTGCCTTCTTTATTCAGGTCTTCAGTGAGATGGAAGAAGCTATAATAGGGCAGAAAGAGTAAAGGATGGATGTTAGAGCCAGAAGCAGAACTATAGTAATCAAAACTGGTAGTCATAAATTATAGAGTTAATAAAATTATTGTGGAAGAAATGCAGCATGTCAGTTAAAAACTTGACATTGAGAATTAGAAGTATTACATGTTTATTCCATTATCATTTATTTATTTTGGTGTGCTTGGCAGAGAGGTGGAGGCGATGGCAAACAGATTAAAAGCAGTATTTCTAAAATTTGACAGTGTAACAGAATCCTTAAGGTTAAAGAGGTTTACTATCGTGACCCACATGACATTTACTCAGTTTCCCCAAACTAGGGCAGTGTGTCAGATTAGAAATATTAAAGGTAAGAGAAATTTAAGAAATAAAGACATAAGAGAAAAGTGGAGGGCATGGTGGGATGGTCCAGCTCTGATGGAGACTGGATCTAACAACCAAATGGAGCCCACCCATTTTATTTAAATGGGTAGGAACACCAGTGGGATTCAGAGTTGAAGAACTTCCTAAGGAAAACAGGAAGAAGATGGCAAAGACAACTTGGTTGGGGCTTAGCAGGTTATGCCCACCTCCTCTACTTCCAGGCTGCTGCATTTGAACCTAGGGCTGTCTGAGCCAACAGGCGGAGTCAGCATAATCTGAGCAGTCTTGAATCCATGGGAGTTCTCAGGAGAGTAACACCCCTGCCTTAAGATGGCTCAAACAAATCCATAAATCATTCCCAGCCCCCAACAGTTTTACATTTTTGTAAAAGTTCTGTTAGTCTTACACTCTCTAATGTACTCACCACTCATCTCAAACATGTTGTAGTCAATTACATATTGTGATATTTTGGATATAATATAGTATTAAAATTACAACCAGAGAAGTGAAAAATTCTGCTCCTTTTGTATACAAGGAATCAAAGAGCATTCTGCTGTCATGTATAACTGATTAGGCTATTATTAAAATGAATCTTACCTATTTCTTTTTGATTTTTTAAAATGTGACCACTAGGAAATTTTTAATTGCCTGTTTCTTTATGTCTTTTGGTCAGTATCTTAGACCATACAACACTATTTGTTAAATAGTTAAGAGTGTGTGTGTGTTTGTGTGTGTGTGTGTGTGTGTGTGTGTGTGTGAGATACTGGGGATTGAACCCACACATGCTAGGCAAGTGCTCTGTCACTGAGCTACATCCCTAGTCTTAATAGTTAACTTTTAACTAGTGAGTTATGTTTTAAGGTAAATCTGAACCCAAGTGACCTAGAAATGACAAATAACACTGATAAGAGCAGTAAATAAGCTTTAGAGCAAACTCAGTTTGAGCAAAATATATAGAACATTGAATGTACCTTGTTATATATCTGGCATTTTGCTAAACACTGTATGTATATATGTGGCATAATATAAAAATTCCTGCCTAATTTTCTTCTTACCTGAGGGATGGAGAGAACTTTTGGTCCTTTGCAGAGGCATACACAGCTACTTCTCCAGCTGAAAATGGCATGGCACTCCATTGTGTTTTAATCATTTTTACCTATAGTTTAAAAACCCAGCATGCTGAAACTAAAATAGCGCCTTTCCATGACAGATCTTCTCACTAATTTCTAAAAATTCTTGGGAAAGCCTGCTAAAATTAAAACCAATGGTACAGGACAGGAAAAAATTACTTTTAATTTGAATAATATCTTGTCCAATAGAGCCTTCTTAGATGGTAACTGCTTAATATTTTATTTTTTAAATTAATATCACTAGATTTTAAGTTATTTACTCTTTAAACTGATTTATTCCATCTATTTTCAAACAATAGAATTAAATTGCCCAGGGCCTGAGAGTATAACCAGTTGGTAGAGTGCTTCCCTGACATGCTCAAGGCCCTGGGTTCAATCCCCAGAACCACCAAAAATAATTAAATTGCCCAGGTAAACTGTCATCTTGCAACTTTTTAAATGTTTTTTAGGAAGACTATGATAAATATGGAATTCGAATTAGAGTCAAATTTCGCAGTAGTACTCAACTGCATGAATTGACTCCTCACCATCAAAGTGGAGGCGAAAGAAGTGTTTCCACCATGTTATACTTGATGGCCCTTCAGGAGCTTAACAGATGTCCATTCAGAGTAGTTGATGAAATCAATCAGGTATAGTGATTGTTATTTTATTTGGATCTGATTGTATCCTGTAATGAATATAACTATAACCATTGTTATTGTCATGGTTTAGGGAATGGACCCAATCAACGAAAGGAGAGTGTTTGAAATGGTTGTAAACACTGCCTGTAAAGAAAACACATCTCAGTACTTCTTTATTACACCAAAGGTAGGTAATAAACAATCTCAAAGTGCGTGTGCATGCAGAAGTCCTCTGTGACTGACTTACTGTGTAGAAGATTTTGGCACAATATGTAAATATGAGCAGGAACACTCCCCTCCCAAAAAAGAAGTCAAAAATTTATAATATTTACATTCATATAAGGATCAAGTTCCAGTGACATAACCAGAAATCTCATTATTTGAAAAAGAAACATAAGAGGCAAATCTTATGTTTGAGAACTGAGTTTTCTCCCTGCTGTTGGCACTCATTCCTCTTCTAGAAAAGCTCCTCTTTTGGCATTAAAAGATGACTGAAGAATGCAAACACTAGAACTCTCATCCTTTTCATTTTCCCAGAAAATTCTGTCCTATCACATACTTTCCCCGTCTTTATTTACCACTGTTACTCCTCTGGCCCAGAGTATCCCAACATCTTCTACTCACAGATAAACTTTGATAACAATACAGTTATCTTATGACAATTTTCTGTAATCTAGAACTATTGAAATGAGAAATTTTCTTTTGTTACATCTAGTGCTGTAGGAAAATTATAAAAGGGATATACTCAAAGATGTATTTATTAAGGTAATCAGATACTTATTTTTCTTTTTCAACTAAGTAGTCATGAAAAATTTCATTGAAGAGCCCATCCCAAATTCAGATTTTTATTGAGTTTTATCGTCTGCTTTTTTCCTGCAGATACTCTGTGGAATAGGCAGATCTGTTAATACTCTAATTCTTACCAAACACCTTGTCCTACAAATAAAACTTTCCTGCACACACTTTTCGGGCTACCAGTATATCACAGTGCTTGACCACAGAAGTTGCATGAGAAGTGTTTGTGGATAAAAGTGAAAGTGTCTATCCTAGGAAAATTATGAAAGACATACTCTTTTCCAGAACCTACCTGGGGAGTTGTATCATCCAGTTGTCCTATGAACTTAAAGGATTCCCTGGTATTGATTATTTCTTAAGCCGGTATGCTAACTCAGGTAGCAATCACAGGCTGGCAAGGCTTATATTGAGGTATTTGAGAGCTTCCTTCATGTTTTGTTAATATTAGAATAAGCTGATATATTTGACGGTGAACATGTAAAGTTGGAAAACTATGCTTCTTGGTGTATAGCATTGTGTGACAGTTTGTCTATTTTAATGCAGCTCCTGCAAAATCTTCCTTATTCTGAAAAGATGACAGTATTATTTGTCTACAATGGTCCTCATATGCTGGAACCAAACAGATGGAATTTAAAGGCTTTCCAAAGGCGGCGGCGCCGTATTACATTCACTCAACCTTCTCAGTAGAAGCAAAGGGAGGGAACTTGGAAGTTTTTCTGTTAGATTCTGTTTATAAATGTGGCTCATCTGAATAAAAGTTAGTAGATTTATTAAAACAGAAAGATTGATTATTTTTGGAAACTAGCTTTTAAATATACAAATAGGTTAGTGAAATGTATACCACAATGATTTCTTTCTCTGGAACATCATCTGGTAGTAAAAGTTAAGTCTTCAGTCTTGGTTGATCTTCCTTAGTACTCTGTGAGTAACTGGATTCCCATGCTTAAAGGTATTTACTATTGCATATCTAAGGTACGGTGGAATGGAGGTCATCAACCACAAGTTGTTTTCTTGACACAATAGCCCTGAGCTTTAATTGCAAATTAAATTAAGAAGAACTAATTACCTATAAAGTCATCTTAAGATGACTCTAGAATTTAAATTCTAGTTTCTCCCAGTGTTATTTAACTTTTTAAAATTGATATGGAAGTATCTAATGTATAGTAATAATTTATGACAAATCTATTCAGTGCTTTCTATTAAAAAAGATTACCTTATCTCCACTAGGAAATGGAGTTTTGTGGGCCTTTGAAGTAAGTTTTATGAAACTTGATGCTGTTATGGGTTTTCAAGGGGAAAAAAGGCAGTGAGCCTCAAAAATGCTAGCAGAGCTTCTTTGAAATGCCACAAGGTGGCCACTAGATGATGCAAAATGCAGCCAAAAAGATTGACAGAGAATAAAATCAGGTGACAAGGGTTTTTAAAGAATAACCTTGTAAAGTCTGTGGGGGGGGTTTGTTTTGTTTTGTTTTTGTTTAAATTTCTAAAAAAAAGAAAACATTTTTATAATTATTTTTAGCAAGATTTTCTTAAAATTTCATATACTGGTTTCTACAATTTGTATTTGAAATTTCTCAGTGCTGTATAAGAGTGAGGGAAAAACATTGATTTGTTTAAAACCATAATGTTTTTAGAATTTAAGCTTAGAGGTCCTTCTTCACGGTGTTGATCTACCCTTTATCTTAGAAAATTTAGTTTAAACTGTTTTCTTCCAGCTTGAAAGAATTAAATGAGAAAAATCATTTGTTTATCTCTGAGAGTTTTGCTAATTAACAGTGCCAAACAAATCCTATTCTTTTAAAAAAAGTAAATCTTATAAGAAAATGGACTGGTCCAAGAACACGTCTTTGAGTAGTGAATTGGATCTGTTCTGGTAAACCTGACAAAATTTTATTTTATTTTATTTTATTTTATTTTGACTTGCTAGGCTGAATAAATTGAAGAATGACATTCAGTTTGGGTTTTGTATATTCTTAAATAGCCACTGACATTTATATTCTTATTAAGTCAAAAAATAATGAGCTGCGTTTATGTCCTTTTCCTTAGACATTTTCTCTTTTAAAACATATTTTTTCTTTATAAATGTTTTAAAAGAGCCCTCCCCTCCTAAGTAAACTAAACCTAGTGCATGTCATATGAAAATATTTCAAAATGACATTTTTACTAGTATGAACAAGTCATATGAACATTGAAAAATTTGGTAACATATTAGTAAATGGACATTACCAACTGTATTCTGTTGTTACTTTGTTTCCTACTATAATATCTTTATTAATATGTTCTTGGTGTAGTTTGTTTTTTGATAGTTATTACAGTCATCTTGTTTCTACAAAATGAACCTCATTGTGCTTGAAGATTAAGCATATTTGAAAATAAAATTTTAATTTACATATGCAAACAGTTACTTCATACCTTGTTTATAAGAATTATATTTCTCTATTAGACAAAGTAATAATTGGTTTTACATTGAATTTTGAGCTCCGAAGGATAAATTATGTATCATTTTAACACATTAAAGAATAGTAAGTCTAGAGCAATATAGTTTCAACCACTTAAACCGTCATGTTTTCTACAAATGTTGATTTTTAATTAACATTCAAATTGTAAGTACTTAAAGTAAAAGCCTGATTTGATGAAAAAAATGATATTGAAAGCTTTAAGGTAACAAGCATTTTTGATTACTAAATTTTCATTGATTTGCCCAAGGAGAGTCTCTCTTAAGATTTTCTATATTGAAAATAAGAAGAAAGATTTCTTGCTGCTTTCTGATTGTCTTTTGGACGTATGCCTATCTTTGCAATATAAACCTTTAGTATGTGAAAAATGTAATTTTGTCTTGCAATTGTATGTGTACATGTCTGTAATTGATAAAAACTCCGTGGAAATGCTAATTTGTTGGTAATAAATACATATTTTCATATTCTTTGGGTGTGTTTTTAAAACAAGAACTTGTTGATTCTTTGAACCTTTTGAGGAGTCACTTGGTTTTCATATTTTCTGAAAAACAAATCTCTTAAGCCCCCACCATTTTTAAAACAGGATTCAGCAGTCTATTAGTGTTCAAAAGGATAAAAATGTAGTCTCTTGTCTGCCTTCAATTACATTCTAATAGAATTAATAAACATGCATGAGAACAAGTTTCCATCATCTAAAGAAGCCAATCAACAAGGCAGGTATAAAAATATTTTTATGTTGAAATACTAAATTATTAAAAACATGCCCAATAAGCAATTTTGTCATATTCTTATTTTAAACTACTATCAAAGTAATGTTTTTAAACATTTTGAGTGAGGTAGACTATCACTTGCTTGCAGACAAGTTACTGAACTGTTTCCATGCTGGTGAAATGAGAATGACAGCTAATTCACAGAGTTATTGAGAAGATCAAATGAAATCTGGGGAATATTAAGGAACCTAGTTCATGGTAGGTGCTTTTATAAATGTTTGCTTTTCTCCTGTTTTTGAAAACTGTAATATATTGATTTTTTTATACTTCAAGTTCTGAATTCTAAGTAAAGTTAATATATAGTTGCTTATTGATAAGTACTGTGAATTGTTCAAAGGATACAGAAACCTACCAGCTTTGAGGAAATCTTGTGCATTCAGATGTAAATATTTTCATATATTTTATAATTTTTATGAAATATGAATATAAGTTAGATGAGCTATCCTAAAGATACTTACACTAATCCATGTCATTATTCTATAGTCATATAGAATAAATTTATAATTAATTTATAATTTATAATTAATTTGATTATTTGGGAAGTTGGACTGTGTTGACAATTTGAGCTTTTTTTATTCCCAGTGGAAAAATTGGGTATGGGGTATTTTTTGTATGTTTTGGGGATTTAACCCAAGAGCTACATCTCCAACCTTTTTATTTTTTATTTTGAAACAGGGTCTTGCTAAGCTGCCCAGGCTAGCCTTTAATTTGTGATTCTCCTGCCTCAACCTCTTCAGTCACTCTAATTACAGATATGCACCCCACACCCAGCAAGGATTTTATTTTTTTAATGTTGAAATATAACTGCAGTCATATGCCACATAGCAATGTTTCAGTCAGTGGTGGGTCCCATATATAATGTAGTCTCCTAAGACTATTATTGCCTAGAGACATGGTAGCCATCATACAATTGTGAAATCACCTAACAATGCATTTCTCAGAGTTTCTCCACCATTAAGTGACACATGACTCTATTTGCTCATTCCTCAATTAAAAATGGCTTACTGGAAATTGTCTGGAATATAGTTATTTTCAAAAAACCAAAGGGCAGGGGAGGTAATTCACTGGTTTAACTAGTATGACAAGGCTCTGGTCTTAAACACCAGCACTGTGATGGGGTGTGGGGTGAAGGGTGGGACCAACCCAGCCTCAAAACAAATCCCAAAGAGAAAGTACAGGGTCGGCCACTCCACATAAATTCATTATAAACTGTGTACTAAGGGGAGTTGGGGAAGCTGAGAGCTACCTAAAACAGTTCTGGCTCTAACCCTGCCTTTATCAGAGTTTGCAACATGGGTGAGCTATTTCTAGGGAGGTCAGAAACACCTGAAAAGATGTTTTTTCACAATTATTATTACCTTACCTGTCTGACTGCCTCTCAGAAAAACACACACTCTTGGCGTTCAGTCTGTGCATTCAGAGTGAAGGATGAGAGAAAATAGAGTGCCAAGAGGATCAATTGGCCATTTCTGCCACTTTTTCAATAAGGAGTGGATTGAAAGATAGATTCCAGTATAAGGAAAAGATATTGTAAATTAGCAACCCTATACTACTGATGCAGAAACAGGAACTTAACAATGTTACGGCTTTTTCACATTCTTGCTGTTGATAAATGGCAGAAGTAAGATTGAAAAGATAGTTACATTTTTTCTAAAATACCATCCTGGCTTGCTATCATGCTACCTTGTCTTTTTGAGTTTGAAGCTAAACCATAAGCAGTTCCTGGTAATGTAATTAATTTCCATGTAAGTTAGATGATGCTTCTTCAGTATGCCCCCAACTTGAAGTTAAGGTACAGGTTTCTTCTGCCAGTATAGTAAAGGCCCAAATATAACTGACCGAAGATGTTTATTCTTAGCAGCATAAGCATGATGTTCCAACTTTGCACTCAACTTCTATTTTGTAGTTCTGTCATCCTCGGCCCTTCTTTTGGTCTGGGATTAGTGTTTTAGCTCTTAACTAACATACCGGTATCAAAACCATGGGAAGGACATGACCACTCCTGTTAAGAGCCATGGTCTGCAAGATGTACATTAATTTTGCTCTTGTCTAGAACTTAATTACATAGTCTGATCTAGCTGCAAGTGAGTCTTGAATGGTTATCTTTAACTATATGGACAGGTGCCTGAGTAACTTGCAGTCACTCTACTAAGGTGAGGGTGACTGCAATCAGAAATTTATACCACTAACTCAAGAAATAACTGATAACTCTGTGCCCATTGACAATATTTTTAGAGAAAAGACTTGATAAATTTTTAAACATAAAAATCAAGTTCTCAAAACCTTCAAGGATCCTACATATTTCCCCATTCTGGATCCATTCAAAGAAGCACTCATGAGCCCCTAAACTATTCTCTTACCCTGTTTCATTTTTCTTCAAAGCACTACAATTTAAATTTTATTTGTTGTCCGTGTTCTTTGCTAAGATAAATATATTTAAAACTGCTTTATTATTTTAGGTAAGCGCTCTACCACTGAATTACATCCCTATCCCACCATTCATTTAATTCTTATTAACATGACTATGAACACAGTACTATAG